TATATATATATCTATTAAAGATATGACACCAACAAATTTTCTACATCTGGCACGAATCTCAAGATATGACACGAATCTCGAGACAATATTTTAAGTATGAAACATTCAAATATTGATAAAAAGTAATCCTGAGCTTTAATTTCAGCAAATTTATAGTCAAACTGACCGGCTTGATGAGACGGATCTAATGATATGAAAAATAGCTCAATCCGAGGCAAATCAAAAGCCCATATCAAGTCATTGAACCACACTTAGATGATTTTCAGACATATTTGGAAGATTAAAGGTTTGTCGAATATGACAAGTTTATACTTAAGTCGAGCGGCTCAACAAGAAAAATCCAACGAGCCCAAGATCACTGAATTCTGACATCATTAAGACACTCAAATGTCCAGTAAACGCCGTATGATCGAGGGAAGCTTTCCGGATCGTCTAATCAAAATGATTGATATTTCCTGCATTAATTGAACCCAGAATACTATAAATAGAGTCTCATCCCTCTCATGAGGGGGGCTGAAGCCTGAAAGAGAGAGTCTGAGACATTCTGGAGAAGCTGCAATTCAACACCACCGTTGATTGTCGTCGAACACTGCCGATCTCCGTCATCGACCACCGTCGTCGACAACCGTCGATCATCGTCGTCGACCACTGTCGATCGCAGTCGACTATTGGCGACCGCCGAAGACCATCACCGATCGTCGCGGACCTCCGCCAACCGTCATCGATCACTACTAACCAGACGCTGTCAGTCAACATTGTAATCTGAAAAAATATAGTTATTCTTTCTCGCTGTGGGATAAGTGATTTCTATAATCATCAATCAATAGTGGATTTTCGCAATTAGGCCAGACTCTGTGGTTTTTCCCTTTACGGGCTTTCCACGTAAAAACTTCTAGAGGAGTCACTGTTTTTTTCTTTTTCATCTGAGTGTGTACAGAATTCTCGTACAACTCTAAGACGATAATTTGTTACTTTACTGTTGTGAATTTTTTGACACGCATTAATTAATGATAATTCTCTATACTATATGTCCAATAATGCATGATTTTCTCTTTACATAAGAATGACTTTGGTTTTAAAGAAATGCTCTATATAGCCTGCCATCAATGGGTTACCGTAAAATATAATAAAGATAGATTTTTTTTTTTAATCCATTTGTGTTAAAATGTTGATAAAACGTCAAGTAAAAATTAAAT